TGTGTGTGTGTGTGTGTGTGTGTGTGTGTAGTATATATATATATATATATATATATATATATATTCATCTCGTACATCCTTGGCTTGGCTATACCAGGACCAGAATTGGGCTGTAGACGTGCTTCACACTTGTTGTCCATGCTATACGTACAACATTTCAAGACGTACAATCGATTCCGCCTATTCCATTCCAGTGGTCGAAATACATGTGCTAGCGCATTCTCACACGGGTAATAGTATATCAATTAAAGGTTATCCAGCGACCATATTTTGTGTGGTGACATAAGGACATTGATATTTTACATATATAGTGTCATAAACGTTCTCTATCTTGAAAGCGTTTATTGTCTTCATTTATCTTCGTGCTTCGTGGTGTACCTCTGACACCTGCAATGTATGTATCATTCTATTACATACATTAGAGATGTCAGAGATAAGAATACGTTTATATGCAAATTTTCTCTGATGTACGTATCACATACTTTATTACAGCAAAACGTTTAAGGTCGACTTGTTCGTTTCTTTTGTTTTTTTTTGTTTTTTGAGTCTACACGTAAACTGTGACAATTTAACCCCTCTAACGTTTTCCTTTCTTTTACTCAGCGGGGCGAACGATGTTGACATGAATGTGGCATTCCGCTCAGTACCGTCTTCCATGTGGTATACACTGCTTATGTTAACAGGTACGTATACAATAAGCGTATCTCTATTTGCCACCTCGAGAGTCACCTATATGCATATATATATATAATAGTTACTTACATCTAGAAAGACTGCTATCCAGTCAGTAGTCAACCTCTGTATCATAGCGCCCTAGTTACTCACATTCAAGTATATGTTTGTTGTCAACACACACCTTCAATACCAATTCCTTTCGAGTCTCGTCGCGATTAACACTTTGCTATTTGTCCTCATTTGGTCCAGCCCTATTCGCTCGGTCCCACTTGATTTGGGCCACCCCGTGATCTATAGTTTGTTATATATCCGCATTATGGCCAGGCACATGCCAGAGCCACATTTCACTTTGATTGACCTCGTGATTTGAAGTTTGATATATGTCCACATTAACTCCACGCGAGTTCCCTCTGGCGCATTGCATATCGATTTACCTCCTTCGTTCTAACTCGCTATATGTCCACATTTTTTCGTGCGACTCTCTGACGCATTCATATCGATTCACCTCATTACCCTTCACTCGTTATATGTCCACATTTGTTCCAGGCGAGTTTCCCTTAGCGGACTTCACTTCACCTGGCAAGTGGGTGGCGGGTACAATCGGTGTGCTTGCTGTAGCTCTGTTCGCTATACCCACGGGTGTGTTGGGGGCTGGCTTTGAAGAGTGGGTGCAGGATAAGGAGGGTATGTCAAGAATATGCGTGTGTGTACATATGTTTGTATGTATGTGTGTGTGTGTGTATGCGTGTGTAAGTATATATATGTATTATGTTTGCATGTATATATGTATGTATGTATATATGTATGTATTTATGTTGGTATGTATGTATGTATGTAGGTATGTATGTATATGTGTATGTACTATGTATGTGTGTATGTATTATGTATGTATGTATGTTTGTATGTATGTACGTATGCATGCATGTATCTATGTATCTATGTATCTATGTATCTATGTATATATTTATGTATGTATATATATATATATATGTGTGTGTGTGTGTGTGTGTGTGTATAGATAATATGTGTATCGATTTATTTGTTTTTATAA